GTTTTTCTTCGCCTCTCAACCAAGTACCATCTCTCTCTCTCTCTTAAGCTCTCTCTTGTGCTGCTCTCTTTCTCCCTCTCCCCATCTCTCTCTCTCTCTACCCTGCCCTTCACTCTCTACCTCTCTATCCTGACCCACCATAACAATATTTTCCCTCACTTGTCTCTCTCTTTCCCTTTACCCTGTCCACCACTCTCAACCAAGAGCCCCATCCCCCATTTTCCCTCACCTCTCTCAACAAGGATCCCCGTCCTCCATTTTCCCTCTCCTCTCTCAACTAGGTACCATCAGTTCTCTCTTAGTCTTGCCAAACTAGGTTCTCTCTCTCGTTCATTCTCTCTCTAGAAATACCCGTCCCCCATTTTCCCTCATCTTTCTCTCTTGGTTCTCTCTCTCTCTCATCTCTCTCTCTACCCCATCCCTCATTTTCACTCAACTCTCTCTCTTGGTTCTTGTTCTCCCTAAACCATCAAGAAGCCGACCCATTCACAATCACTGTTGCAATGAGAACTCTACGTCAGGAACCGACCCTATGAAGAGCCCTGCTTTACCGTAACGACCTTGTAGGTACTCCTTTCTTATCCTCTCTCTATTCTCTAACTTGCATTGAGATCAACAAGCCCAATTTGCATTTTATCTTGCAGATTGGTTGAAAACTCTACTCATAATTTGTTTAATTATGCGTGGTCGTGCATCTATTTTCATTGTAACCCTATTATGTTATTGGAGAAACGATGGATGGATAATATTAACTTTTCCATAATTATGCATGGTCTTGCATCTCACTTAATCTCTATGCTCATATTGTATTTTTTCAATTTCACTTTCTCGCTCTCATTCTTTGAATTGTTTTATTTTGATTTTAGGAATATGTTGATTCTCATTTTCAGGAGCATGTTAATTCTCTTGAATGACTCATATTTGCAAATACTGTGATATTTATAGATTGGCGAGATGTTGTTTGTTTCTACCTTTTAGGGGAATATGGACTAATGTTTTAGGGAATTATTTCAATATCACATAATCAAACTTTTATAGCGTTATGGTTATGAGTTGAAACAGTGAATTGAGCCTTGTTCTCTATTCCAAGATCTTAAGGATTTTTATTAGCTTAAATGGAGCTACTTTGTACTTCAAGTTATTTAGGAGTTAGTATTGTAATTGAATTGCAAATTTGTGTCTTGAATTGTGTTAGTAATGAATTGTTCTCGAGAAGTTATATACTGCTACAATGATGGCTTCCTACAAATACTTAGAAATGAGCATTTGATAAAACAAGATACGAGAATTGTAGTCAATCTAGAATTTCAAATTGAGGTATGCTACAAGGAAATAGGGCGTGATACCTAGCTAAACTTAACGACCAATAGAAAATAGATGCATATTGTCAATCAAATCTTGAATTCATAAATATGATGAACCTTGATTTAAATTTGACAAAAAAAATACTTGAATACCCGATTGATGCGAGTAGGGCTAATATGTGCCCAAATACTATTCGGTTTTCTTGAATCATTTATTAAAAAACATGTGAAGTGTTGAAGTCATTAGTTGACATATAAAATGTGTTTTGTGTAGGGGTAATGTGTTTTGTATATAGGGTTATCAAAAATAGAGTAGCCCCACAGGAACGAAATTCGGTTATGAAGATGATGCATATGAGTTTTACAAGGCTTATATATTGGTGCGTGCGTTTGGTATAAAAAAAGGAAGTACTCACAACAATAAGGATGAAAAAAGAATAGATAGGGAATATAACTGTACTCAGCAAGGATTCCGTAGGGAGGAAGAAGTCTTCCGTACAAAGAAAATCCCTCAGTCAAGGTGTGGATGAGTAGCTTAGATGGGCATAAGCAAATATGCCAACAATGAGTGGGTTGTGACAATGTTCGTTAAGGATCACAACCACAAGCTTGTTATTCCAAGGAAATTTCGACTCAGCCGATCGCACCGAACAATATTGGATGCGACAATGACAATGACAATAATAAACTCCATGAGCTCTGCTTTGGTGAGGTCTTAACATATCTAGAATGTCTTTACAGAACAAGCAGGAGGGATTGATAATTTCCATTTCTCACAAAAAGGCATTGAAAATCAAGTAGGAAACAAGAGAAGAAAATTGAAAGGGGAAGATGGCAATTCTGCATTGGAACGATTTATCAAATATGAATGCATCGAATCCGTCCTTTTTTTATAAGGAGAAATTAGATGAAGAACATCACATTGTCAGCATACTATGGGTAGATGCCATATCAATGGTGTTATACCACCATTTCTCGGATGTGGTCACTTTTGATACTATATATAAGACAAACTCTTTTGGCGCGCCTTTTCTTCCTATACTTAGAATGAGTCACCACCTTAGCACAATATTTTTTTGGGTTTTCTTTTATATTTGATGAGAACATGAAGTCCTTTGTATAGGTATTTGAAAATTGGCCAGAGGCAATGGATGGACGTCAACCAGGAGTAATTATCACCAATCAGGGTCCTGCAATGACTACTGCAATGAGACAAGTTCTGAATAAAAGCAGACATCATATTGTAAGTGACACATACTAGCAAAGGTCAAAGAAAAATTGTGCCATGTCTTGCGAAGGTGTCCATCTTTTTTAGAAATATTCATGAAATGTATAATGAGCCCAGCTAAGAAAGAATTTGAGTCAGAATGGAAATCTCTTTTTGAGAAATATGAGCTTCAACAGAATGAATGACTCAATAGATTGTACTAATGGCGAATGCAATGGATTGATGCATATGTGGCAGATGCATTCACAGCCGGTATGTGCCATATGGGTAGATGTCATATCAAGGGTGTTGTACAAATTAGATGAAGAAGATCACATTGTCAGCATACTATGGGTAGATGCCATATCAAGGGTGTTGCACCACCATTTCTCGGATGTGGTCACTTTTGATACCATATATAAGACAAACTCTTTTGGCACGCTTTTTGCTCCTATATTTAAAATGAGTCACCACCTTAGCACAATATTTTTTTGGGTTTTCTTTTATATTTGATGAGAACATGGAATCCTTTGTATAGGTATTTGAAAATTGGCTAGAGGCAATAGATGGACGTCAACCAGGAGTAATTATCACCAATCAGGGTCCTGTAATGACCACTGTAGTGAGACAAGTTTTAAATAAAAACAAACATCATATTGTAAGTGACACATACTAGCAAAGGCCAAAGAAAAATTGTACTATGTCTTGCGAAGGAGTCCATCTTTTTTAGAAATATTTATGAACTGTATAATGAACTCAACTAAGGAAGAATTTGAGTCAGAATGGAAATCTCTTTTGAGAAATATGAACTTCAACAGAATGAATGGCTCAATAGATTGTACAAATGGCGAATGTAATGGATTGATGCATTCACAACCGGTATGTCATCGATTCAAAGAAGCGAATAAATGAATAAGCATTCAAAATATACTTGTCTTCCACAACAAGTTTGTGCACATCTACTTTAAAAGTTCATGAAAAAAAACTTCTTAAGATGAGAGAAAATGACTTAAAGAACGTCACAACTACGCTTATTCTGAGGAACATGTGTGACATCAAGGCTCACGCTTTGAAGATATATACACACAAAGTTATGAAGTTGTTTGGAGAAGAAGTCGCAGAAGATGTAAATTACAAGAGTGAAATTATTGAAGAGAATGACAATTGCAATATTCAAGGTATCAAATGTGGAAGTGGAGCAAGGGACTCCAATGTAGAGTTCAATGGTCACGACCAAACTTTTTCTTGTACTTGTCACATGTATGAGAGGCTAAGCATTATTTGTAGGCATGGGATTTGGGTCTTAATGGTGAAAAATATTTTTGAAATTCCATTGCATTACATAATGAAACGATAGATGAAAATTTGATATAGTTTTTCTCTCTAAAACTTTTGTTAGATACTATATTAAATTAGATACTATAATGAAACGATGAACTAAACTATACTATATTGAAGCGATGATGAAGAATAATGAAGATACATCGCATTACATAATGAAGCGATGGTGAAAAATATTTTTAAATACTATACTCTTTTTAGGTACATAATGAAGAGATAGGTGAAACTATATCAAATTAAAGACAAGTATCTAAAAAATGTTTTAGAGAGAGAAACTATATCAAATTTTCATCTATTGCTTTATTATGTAATGCGATGGGATTTCAAAAATATTTTTAACCATCAAGAACCTAATCCTATGCCTACAAATAATGCCTAGCCTCTCATACATGTGGCAAATACAAGAAAAAGTTTGGTCGCTCTACATTGTAGTCCCTTGCTCCACTTCCACGTTTTGATACCTTGAGGATTGCAAATGTGTCATTCTCATCAATAATTTCACTCGTGTACTTGACGTCTTCCGTAACTTCTTTCCCAAATAACTTTAGAACTTTGTGTGTATATATATTCGAAACGTGAGCCTCGATGTCATACGTGGTCCTTAGAATAAGCGTCGTCGTGATGTTCATTAAGTCATTTTCTCTCATCTTAAAACGGTTTTTTTATGCACTTTTAAAGTAGTTTTAAAAAATGTGTGCAAGCTTGTTGTGGAAGTCAAGTACATTTTGAAGTGCTTATTTATTTCTTCGCTTATTTGAGTTGATGACATACCGATTGTGAATGTATCTGCCACATATGCATCAATCCATTGCATTCGACATCTGTACAATCTATTAAGCCATTCATTCTGTTGAAGTTCATATTTCTCAATAAGAGATTTTCATTATGACTCAAATTCTTCGTTAGTTGGGCTCATTATACAGTTCTTGAATATTTATGGAAAAGATGGACTCCTTCGCAAGACATGACACTATTTTTCTTTGACCTTTGCAAGTATATGCCCCTTACAATAATGGTGGCTGCTTTTATTTCGAACTTGTCTCACTGCAGTGGTCATTGCAGGATCTTGATCGGTGATAATTACTTCTGGTTGACGTCCACCTATTGCCTTTAGTCAATTTTCAAATACCCATAAAAGGACTCCACGTTCTCATCAAATATAAGTACAAACCCAAAAAATATTGTGCTAAGGTGGTGATTAACTCCAAGCACGAGAGCCAAAAGCATGCCAAAAAAGTTTGTCTTATATGTAGTATCAAAAGTGATCACATCCGAGAAGTGGTGGTAGAACACCCTTAACATAACATCTAGCTATAATATGCTGACAATGTGATATTCTTCATCTAATTTCACCTGTATAAAAAAAGGATGGATTCGATTCATTCATATTGATCAACCATTCCATTGGACGATTTTCTCTTCTTTCCTAATTGGTTTTCAATGTTTTTTTTCTGAACAAGGCAGATTATCAATCCCTCAAGCTTGCTTCATAAAGATATCATAGATATGTTGAGACTTCACCACAGCAGAGCTTGTGGAGTTTAACATTGTCTTTATCGCATATGATATTATTCGGTGCGATCGGATGAGTTGAGAGCAACAAGCTTGTGGTTGTGATCCTTAACAAACCTTGTCACAACCTACACATTGATGGCATTTTTGCTTATGGCCATGCTAACTACACATCCACACCTTGACTGAGGGATTTTTTTTGTAGGTAACACTTCTTTCTCCTTACGGAATCCTTCATTTGAACAATTATACTCCCTATCTATTCTCTTTCTATTTTTATTGTTGTGAGTATTTCCCTTTCTGATACCTAACCCATACCAAACCCACACTTCAATGCATAAACCTTGTAAAACTCGTATGCATCATCTTCATAACCGAATTTCATGCTTATGTGGGATTCTCATTCCTATGTGGGATTCTTCTATTTTTTACCCCTCGGACAACGATGCATGTTCCCCGTTTCCTAGATTTGTGAATACTAGAATGACCTACACAAAGCACATTTTAAATGTCAACTAATAACTTCAACACTTCACATGCTTTTTACTAAATGATTCAAGAAAACCGAATAATATTTGGGCACGTATTAGCCCTAGCATCAGTCGGATATTCAGGTTTTTTGTTGTCAAATTTAAATCAAGGTTCATCATATTTATGAATTCAAGATCTGATTGACAATATGCATATATTTTCTAGTGGTCGTTAAGTTTAACCGGGTATCAAGCCCTATTCCTTGTAGTGTGCCTCACTATGAAATTCTAGATTGACTCTAGTTTTTTTTTCTTGTTTTATCAAATGCTCATTTCTAAGCATTTGTAGGAAGCCATCATTGTAACAGTATAGAGCTTCTTGAGAACAATTCATTACTGACAATTTAAGATATAAATTTATAATTCAATTGCAATACAAACAATAATAAATCTTGAATAAGCAGCTCCATTTAAACTAATAAAAATCCATAAGTTTTTGGAATGAACAAGACTCGATTCACTATTTCAACTCAGAATCATAAATCTATAAAAGTTTGATTATGTAAGATTGAAATAATTCCCTAAAAAATTGGTCCATATTCTGTTAAAAAATAGAAACAAATCTCATCTCGCCAATCTATAAATATCGCAATATTTGCAAAAATGAGTCACATTCAAGAGAATTAATATGTTCCTGCAGATAAGAATCAACAAATTTGTAAAATTAAAATAAAACAGTTCAAAGAGTGGGAGGGAGATAGTGAAATTGAAAAACCATAGTATGAGCATGGAGATTGAGTGAGATGGAAGACCATGCATAATTATGGAAAAGTTAATTATATCCATCCATAATTTCTCTAATAACATAATAGTGTTACAATGCAAATAGATGCAAGACCATGCATAATCAAACAAACCCAGTGTATCATTTTCAATCAGTGTGTGAGATAAAATGCAAATAAGGCTTTTTGATCTCAATGCAAGTTAGAGAACAAAGAGAGAGAGTAAGAGCGAGTACAAGGCCGTTAGGGTGGAGCAGGGTCGGTTCCTGATGCAGAGTTCTCCTTGCAGCAGTGATTGTGGGTATGGGGCCTGCTTTTTGTTGGTTTAGGGAAAACAAGATAGATATGGGAGAGAGAGCTGAGGGAAAATGGGGGACGGGTAGAGAGAGATAACCAGGAGAGAGAGGTGAGGGAAAATGGGGGATAGGTAGTTCTAGAGATAGAGTGAGAGAGGGAGATATATGGAACCTGGTTTGGGGAGACCAAGAGAGAGCTGATGGGATACGAGAGTGAGAGAGACGAGGGAAAATGGGGGGACAGGGCTCTTGGTGGATGGGATAAAGAGAAAGAGAGAGGTGAGAGAAAATGAGATTATGGTGGGTCAGGATAGAGAGGTGGAGAGTGCAGGACATGGTAGAGAGAGAGAACCTGGTTTGTGGAGAGCTGGAGACAAGAGAGAGAGATGGTACCTGGTTGAGATAAGTGAGGAAAAACAGGTGATGGGCCTCCTTGTTGAGAATGGTGGACGGGGTAGAGGAAAAAAGAGAGAGAGAGATGCGAGGGAAATGGGGCTCTGGTATATTGGAGGACGGAGAGAGAGGGTAACAGGTGTAAGTACTGTTAGTTTGTCAACAATATGGGGAACTGGGCTATCATTTATGAACCGTAGTATCTTGGTTGTTGGGCCCACCCAAAGCCATATGCGAGTGGGCGTTCTTTATCATTTTCATATATATATATATATAGAGAGAGAGAGAGAGGAAGATGCTAAGGTGAGCCCACTAGCTCATAGAATAGTATAAGCCCAATGCCTAGATTGAATCTAAGCCGATCTGATGGCTGAAAGTGTTTGAATTTTAATTTTTTTTTTATAAATTCAAATCACTTGAAATTTTAGGTGAATGTTCTTCTCATCAAGTCAAACTTAATAAAAATATAAAAATAACAATCCGAAAAATTAAAAATGACCAAAATACCCCTGAAAATTTACCGGGGTATTTTGGTCATTTTTTTAATGTAAAATATTTTTTTAATATTTTTTGAATATTTACCTATTTTTGTTGAACACACGTCTAAAATTTCAAATGATTTAGATTTGTAGAAACAAATTAAACTTCAAACACTATCGAGCATCTATGATTGTTAGATCGGCCCAGATTCAATCTGGGCCATTGGGCTCATTTTTTCTCATGAGCTATTGGTTCACACAAGCTTTTTCAAACCCATCCATATATTTGTTGCTAGTGGCCCTTCGGGTACACCTATTGAAGTGGAAGTTCTTTTTCTTCGATTGATCCTTTTGAGAAGCTACCCTTTAGATACGACGTGTGGAGAATATTGCTTTGGGTAAAGTAGCCTTCTTTGCTAGATATTTGTGCTATCTCCGATTCATATCAACAGGAAAAGAGGGCAAAAGATTGCCTTGGATTACCGAATATTCATTTCCATCGCCTCTTCGTCTTTTAGGGAGGATGGAATTCAGAGACCAGTTCGTCTCTGCCAAAGGATTGTCTTTGCTGAAGCTCCCGGCTCTCTGGTTGCTTTCTTGTGTGCTTCTCCATTGCAAGATGCGATACTTGCCATTTTGTTTGTCTATGAGGAGGAGAGCTGCACCTAGAGTTGAGCCAAGGGAACCTATAATTCCTTTGGCACTGATGAGGAAGAAAACCAGGGTTTTGAAATGGAAGAGGTCACTAACATTGTTGAAGGCTTGGGAGAAAACGACGCTGGCTTCCTGGGTCATATTGGGGATGAAATAGTGATAGTTGAGGAGTGGTGGTGGTACCATTGAATGTCTTACAGCAGGAGGAGATGTTCCCATTGGTTGAGGAATTGGTCCAGCCACCTGAATTGTATAAAAAGCTTCTAAATAGTAAGCACAAATTGATTTCTTGGAAAGTTGATAAATGGCTTTTTTTGAAAAATACAATTGATAGTACACTTGTGGATATTCAGCTCTTGGATCAAAATATCCAGCAGGAAGGAACCATCTCTGAGGATAGAGTGTTAGATGTGCTCTGTTATGTTCATCGACTTACCTACATAGGTTGGAGGAGATTTATTGAAAGTAGATATTCAGGGTAAAGTGGTTAAAAGAAAGGAGATCTCAATACAAAATTTTTTCATGCAATTGCAAGTGAAGGCAGAAAGATATTTCAGGACTTATGGTTCTTGGTGTTGCTGAGAATGTTCAGGTTGGTTAGAAATGTAGTATTATGAACCATTTTCAGAAAGCTTTTACTTTGGATATTCTTTTTACTCCTAAGATGAGCGTTATTGCATTTAAATCTCTTTCCTCTGAAATGGCAGAGAAACTAAAAATGGTAGTTTCTATGAAAGAATTGAAAAAGGCAGTTTTTATGCTTCCTGGGGACAAGGCTCATGAACGAGATGGTTTTCCATTAATCATTTTTCAAAAATTCTAGTCAATGGTGAAGGTGAAATTGTTGGAGATGGTTAGTGGATTTATGCTTAGGGTTGAGTTTGTCAAGGGAGTTAATGTCATATATATTGCTCTAATTATGAAGAAATTGGTCATATCTGGTCTTCCAGATATTTAGACCAATAAGTCTTCTTACCAGCTTATACAAAATTGTGGTTAAAATTCTTACGGAACATCTCAAAAGGGTTTTGCCGCAGGTGGTCTCAAACACTCAATCAACCTTTATTCAAGACAGGATGATTACTGATATTGTGTTGGCGGTGATTAAATTGCATATATAAGAAGCCTATGATAGAGTAGAGTGATGTGCTCTATTGGAGTTTTGAGAAAGATGGGTTTTAGTACAAAAAGGAAGAATTGGATTTATGGATACCTATCAACGGCTCAAGGGGTATAGGGTCAGGGAGTCTTGTTTCGTTTTGGCACCATAAGTGGTTAGGGTTGTTCCTTTGGAAATTACTTATCCACAACTTGAGAATTTTTAAAGAAAGAAATGTTGGTTCCATTTGTACAATGAAGGGGACTCGATGAACGATATTAAATGGTGCAAAAACGGAACAACAGATTCTAAACAGATTCTATGGCAGTTTAAATCAATTGGGCTTCAAGTTTTAGATATGGCAACTCTTTTGATGACTTCATTCCATCCTGTTTACAGGGAGGCTAATGATATCGCGGATGCTTTGACAAAGAGGGGTGTTTCTATGCAAGCTTTAGTTGTTTCTCATGATGTAGTTTCTCTATTGTAATTTTTTCATTCAATAAAATTTGATAACATTATCAGAAAAAAAAAGAAAAGAAAAAGAAAAAGGTAGTGTTTCATGGTTGCACAGAGGCCGTTTGATTATTTGGGGTAAGATCTAAGTAGTGGAAGACTGGAAATTTAAATTTTATTCTTTAAAAAATAATAATCTAGTGATTCTTATGCGATCCTCAACTTGAAAAAATCTCCCAAGTAAGTCTTCTACTCGACAGATGTACAGTATATGCTCTTACGAGACCATAATATATGTGCTGAAATGAAATTCAAGATAAAGGATGCGATATCTAAAAGGCGTAGGCTTTATGGAAAAATTAATGGCTTACATCAAAACCTCATTTGGGAAACACTTTGGGCATGATAGCTCTAATTCTATTTCCATCACCAACTATAAATTTTGGAGTTAAAAAAATAACAAATATTGCGGATTTGTGAACACTTAAAAAGGGCTGGTTTAAATAATGTATTATAATATACACTATTTTAAGAGCATGAAATTTTTTTTTGTTTTTTTTGTCCATTATATCAAGGTCTAGATGACCTATTTCAAGGTTTTCCAATACCAAAACTATAATTCTCAACATTTGAGAGGTGGCTTTACTTTTCTCTAGCAGGCTCATATCCCTTTCCGTAAAAGAATAGATACATAAGCGCTATTGTCTTTCGAGGTCATACATTTTAACTATTTAGATGTCACGTTAAATATACAAGGAATCTACTTTACGGGTTAAATGTACAAAGAAATGTATAAAGAGTGAAGATGATTTGAATGCCTTGTTTATCTACGAGGTCCCGTTACAATTTGGTTGGTGGCTGTAGTGTTTCAAAACTCGGATTGAAATGGATTGTTTGACCCATATAACCATCTGTCGGGTTGCCGGATAGCTGATTTGGATTGATATGAATTGACAATCTCCCGATTTGGATTGATATGAATTGACAATCTTGAAAAGTTTTTCTTTGTTTTTTTTGTGGTTTTTTTTTTTTGGCACGGGAGGTGTTATGTATGGGAATTTTTTAGGACATAAAAAAACAATAGATAAGCTTAAAAGAAAAAATAGAGACATCAAAAAAACAAATAGATAAGCTTAAAAGAAAAAAAAAATATGAAAGGTTGGGAGGAAGGAATAGGGCTGGTATTGATTCTTTCTCAGAACTGATTGGATCTGGCGAATTCCTGGCTCTGATTGGCAATACCTAATTTGAATTCTGAACTTTGAAGCACTAGATGGTTGATATCAAATGAAACGAGTTTGCTTCATTAATGTGAATGATAAATAACTACAAGTCAAGGAGATATACAATTTGTGTGATGGAAGATCCACCATTTCACGATGGTATCTTGAATTTTTGAAAAAATGAAAACAAAATTGGAGCGGCCACCAAATGATCAGTGTCATTAGATGCAGCGTGGCTGCTGAACTTGTTTGGGGTCCAACCCCGTGTATGATCGTCGGTCAAACTAAGATCAGATTTTGAAAAGCTAAAAAAGGAAGATCAGATTTTGAAAAGCTAAAAAAGGAAAAGTAATTGTAACTTATGAAGTATACCAAAGAAAACTTTTTCCTCTTTGGGTCCAAGCAGTCAAAATTGGCAAAAAAAAAAAAATGTAGAGAGTTTGTTTTGATCGTACCTAATTCTTGCTTTGCATTAAATTGTCGGAGGCAATAATTGGCCGGGCTAGCGGCCTGCTCTAGTCCGGTTTAGATAGATATATTATGAGTATATAAGAAAACAAATGGATGTCTTCTAGTGATCGTTTGGAGGTGTACTGTTTGCTATGGTGTGGACTCTGCATTGTTAGATTTGCAAATGCAGCTTTGTCAAAGAAAAGAAGATTTACTGTGTGCATCGTGCACTATGTAATTCTATTTTTTGTCTTCAGCTTTGGGTGCACTTCCCTTCAAAATTGCAGACAATCAAAGCCCATGACCCAATCGTGATGATGTCCTTGAATTCATAGTATGTCTTCAACTGAGGTGCCTTCACTTCTTTCGTAGGAAAGGGGCTGGGTCGTGGTTGTAACACCCCATACTTAGTTACCATGTTGTGGGTTCCAATCCTACTGACGTCGGCTACTAACACTTTCAAAAGAGCTAAAGTCCTTAATCTATCCCACAAAAGCCAGGTAAGGCCATGTCTCCCCACGGAATTACCCCCCACAAAAAAAACACAAGGTTGCCTTCACCACTTTCTACAACTTTACTAGTGCCTTTAATGCTTTCTAATGTTCTCCAGGTTTGAGCACATAATCAAGTGTAATCTTCCAAAATTTGAGCTCTACATGTTTCGAATTCATTAGAAAATAAAGTGTTTTAGTTCTAGGGATTTATTTAAGGCACGAGAGTGGGTGATAAACAAGTGGTAACCCTTGTATTTATGTTGCGTAAGCTTTTGTAGCTTCCACTTGAATACCAAGGTGTTAAATCAATTTAACGCCCGAGAGATCAGTGTCTAAGCTTAGAGGCAGAACTTAAAGGTCCAAAACAATCTCTTACCATCCATTGTAGATGTGGAACGGTGTGGTTGAAAGTGGTGTTCTTGAATCGGCTCGAAGTTGAGCAATTTTCTTGAACTTTGTTACATCCCCAACAGTTTGATATCACATTGGCATCTACATTTAATTTTGTCTTAAGGGAATTTTCAAAAACCCTTAACCGAAATCATTAGGGACCATATTAGTTACCATGTTGTGGTTTCCAATCCTACCGACACCACCCACTAACACTTTCAAAAGAGTTAATCCCTAATCTATCCCACAAAAACCTGGTAAGGCCATGTCTCCCCATTGAATTACCCCCCAATAAAAAAACACAAGATTGCATTCATCACATTATACAACTTCACTAGTGCCTTTAATGCTTTCTAATGTTCTCCAACTTTGCACACATAATCAAGTGTAATCTTGCAAAATTTGAGCTCTACATGTTTCGAATTCACTAGAAAATAAAGCTTTCTAGTTCTCGGGATTTATTTAAGGCACGAGAGTGGGTGATAAACAAGTGGTAACCCTTGTATTTAAGTTGTGTAAGGTTTTGTGGCTTCCACTTGAATGCCAAGGTGTTAAATCAATTTAAGGCCCGTGAGGTCAAGTGTCTAAGCTTAGAGGCAGAACTTAAAGGTCTGAAACAATCTCTTACCATCCATTGGTTATGTGGAACGGTGCGGCTGAAAGTGGTGTTCTTGAATAGGCTCAAAGTTTAGCACGTTTCTTGAACTTTGTTACATCCCCAACAGTTTTATATCACATTGGCCTATACATTTAATTTGTCTTAAGGGAAATTTCAAAAACCCTTAACCCAAACCATTAGGGAACATAGTAATTACCCTGTTGTGGTTTCCAATTCTGCTGACACCACCCACTAACACTTTCAAAAAAGCTAAGTCCTTAATCTATCCCACAAAAACCTGGTAAGGCTATGTCTTTCCATTGAATTACCCCCCAAAAAACAAAACACAAGGTTGCGTTCACCACATTCTACAACTTTACTAGTGCCTTTAATGCTTTCTAATGTTCTCCATGTTTGCGCACATAATCAAGTGCAATCTTGCAAAATTTGAGCTCTACATGTTTCGAATTCACTAGAAAATGAAGCTTTTTAGTTCTAGGGATTTATTTAAGGCACGAGAGTGGGTGATAAACAAGTGGCAACCCTTGTATTTAGGTTGCGGAAGCTTTAGTGGCTTCCACTTGAATGCCAAGGTGTTAAATCAATTTAAGGCCCGTGAGGTCAAGTGTCGAAGCTTAGAGACAGAACTTAAAGGTCTGAAACAATTTCTTACCATCCATTGTAGATGTAGAACGGTGCGGCTGAAAGTGGTGTTCTTGAATCGGCTCAAAGTTTAGCAAGTTTCTTGGACTTTGTTTCATCCCCAACAGTTTGATATCACATAGACACCTACATTTAATTTTGTCTAAGGGAAATTTCAAAAACCCTTAACTGAAACCATTAGGGACCATATTAGTTACCATGTTGTAGTTTCCAATCCTGCTGACACCACCAACTAACACTTTCAAAAGAGCTAAGTCCTTAATCTATCCCACAAAAACCTGGTAAGGCCATGTCTCCCCACTGAATTACCCCCCACAAATAAAACACAAGGTTGCCTTCACCTCTTTCTATAACTTTACTAGTGCCTTTAATGCTTTCTAATGTTCTCCAGGTTTGAGCACAGAATCAAGTGTAATGTTGCAAAATTTGAGCTCTACATGTTTCGAATTCACTAGAAAATGAAGCTTTTTAGTTCTAGGGATTTATTTAAGACACGAGAGTGGGTGATACACAAGTGGTAACCCTTGTATTTAGGTTGCGTAAGCGTTTGTTGCTTCCACTTGAATGCCAAGGTGTTAAATCATTTTAAGGCCCGTGAGGTCAAGTGTCTAAGCTTTGAGGCAGAACTTAAAGGTCCGAAACAATCTCTTACCATCCATTGTGGAACGGTGCGGTTGAAAGTGGTGGTCTTGAATCGGTTCAAAGTTTAGCAAGTTTCTTGAACTTTGTTACATCCCCAACAGTTTGATATCACATTGACACCGACATTTAATTTTGTCTAAGGGAAATTTCAAAAACCCTTAACCGAAACCATTAGGGACCGTATTAGTTGCCATGTTGTGGTTTCCAATCCTGCTGACACCACCCGCTAACACTTTCAAAAGAGCTAAGTCCTTAATCTATCCCACAAAACCTGGTAAGGCCATGTCTACCCACTGAATTACCCCCCACAAAAAAAACACAAGGTTGCCTTCACCACAATTTACAACTTCACTAGTGCCTTTAATGCTTTCTAATTTTCTTCAGGTTTGAGCACATAATCAAGTGTAAACTTGCAAAATTTGAGCTCTACATCTGTCGAATTCACTAGAAAATGAAGCTTTTTAGTTCTAGGGATTTATTTAAGGCACGAGAGTGGGTGATAAACAAGTGGTAACCCTTGTATTTAGGTTGCGTAAGATTTTGTGGCTTCCACTTGAATGCCAAGGTGTTAAATCAATTTAAGGACCGTGAATCTAGTGTCTAAGGTTGGATGCAGAAATTAAAGGTCTGAAACAATC